TGAGATAGGCATCTGGCTGGGGTCATCTAAACCCAGCCCTCTTTCCTGCCTATGCAGGGGGTCGGACTCGATGATCTATAGAGGGCCCTTCCGACCCGAACATCTATGAATCTATGACTTTGTGATTTTTAATAATATGCCAATAAGCCTGTGTATAGTTCAGAGAAACTTTCTTTGGCTTCTCTCATACTTCTCTGGATAAAATAAAAACCCCTGAGTCATCCTGGGCATAACACCAGTACAGGCAAACCATGCTGCAGGAATCTCCAGACTTTTGAAGTTCCCCAAAAAACTCACACCACACTCATAGGCTCACCAGTGTTACCCTCACTAGCAATACTCACTAGCACCATGACGGAAAGAGACTTGGGGGTCACGACTGACCACAAGATGAACATGAGCCACCAATGCGATGCCACAGCCAGCAAAGCAAACAAAACTCTGGCTTGCATCTTCCAACGCATCTCAAGCAAGACCCAGGAAGTCATCCTCCTACTTTACTCAGCCTTGGTGAGACCACAGCTGGAATACTGTGTCCAGTTGTAGGCTCTGCAATGCAGAAAGGATGCGGAAAGCTTGAGGGTCCAGAGGACAGCCATGCGCATGATTAAAGGACAAGAGAGCAGGCCTTATGAGGACAGGCTGAGACATGGGTCTCTTCAGCCTGGAAGGGCATAGGCTCAGGGGTGACTTGGTGGTAGCCTATAAGTACATAAGGGGTGTGCATCAGGAACTGGGAGAAGAACTGTTCACCAGGGCACTAGGGCTGTGCGAAGCTTTGGGTGCTGATTCGATGCAGAGAACATTCGGCCCGATTCAGTGGCTGAATCTCAAATCTGAATCAAATCAGGGGACCAATAAAAAGGTCCAGATTGATTCAAAGCTCTCCAAATCTTTGATGATTCGAGCAGTCCGCACTTGCTGCAGCAGGGAGCTGGAGCCAGACTCGGAGCTGGTAAGTTGGGGGCGGGGGGGCTGGAGGAGGGGACCATGGGGGGACCCCTGCTAGGCCCCATCCCCTGCCTGCTCCCCCAGCCCCCCCATCGCTGCCCCACCTGGCCCAGCTCCCAGTGCTATAAAAAAAGCCCCTACTCATAACCCCTGCCCCCACTTTCCCAGCCCCCTCCCATGGCTGCCCTGCCTGCCCCAGCTCCAGCCCTTTAAGAACATCCCCCTACCCAGCAGGATTCATCAGCTCCTCCAATGGCCTCGGGACTTTGAGGGGGCTCATGGAAGAGCCCCCCATAGGGGAGTGTGGATCACTCTCCGCTGGGCAGGGACTGGTGAGTCCATGTTTTTCTTAAAGGACCAGAGCTCCAGTGGGCAGGGCAGCCATTGCCAGGCTGGGAGAGCGGGTAGGGGATAGGGCCTGCATGATTCAGAGAGTTGGACGAATCGATTCGGGACAGATTCAAATCACCAAATCAAATCACTGTCTCCCAAATCCAAAGCAAATACTAGTTGCTTAGCACAGGCCTACAGGGCACCCCAAGGGAAGACAGACCTTAACAGTCTCAAACTCCTGGAAGACTATTTTAGGCTACACCTAAGGAAAAACTTCTTTACTGTCTGAGCCCCCAGAGCCTGGAATAGACTCCTGCCAGAGGTGGTGCAAGCACATACTTGATACTTTCAAAAAACCACTTGGATGCCTATCTCGTTAGGATCATTTGACCTCTGCTGGCTTCCTGCCCCTTGGGCTGGACCCAATGATCTTGCAAGGTCCCTTCCAGCCCTAATGTCTATGAAAGTACCAAAGAACCCCACCCACCAACCCCTTCCCATCATTGTTCAGGGGTACTCCCCTCCCCTTCCCCCACTGCTGCTTTCCCCACTGTCCCAGGGATGGAGGAAGCTCTGGAGTAGTTGATGCCTGGATGCACCCTCCCCACTGCTGTTGCTCTTGCTTTCTCCAGCTGCTTCCCCAATCCAGAAGGCAAGCAGGGGAAGGGAGGCACTGTGCTAAGTACAGAGAAGAAAGATGATTTTTACCTACGTTGAGGGCTTACAGTCCTGCAGTGCAATCCAGCCCAGCCCAAAAGGAGGGTGCAGCCAGACCATTACACCCCTCATGGATTTGTCCCTACATCTATCCAACTGTTCTGGCATTTTAAAACAAAGAAAGTCACAAAACATTAAAACTAATCCAAATTCATGTGCTGTAAAAAAAGGGCTATTTCAGGGACTTAATTTTGTCCTCCATTATGAAGGCAAAAGGTTTTTTGGTTGACACAAGAGCATTCTTGTATACCATGGCACTCCTTCTCACTTACAATTACATATATTAAAGTTAACTGTAACATACAAATGCAGTACCTAACAGCACTACAGAGTTATGCACTGCATAAATGCAGATGCATCTGTTGGACAATACCATCAGAAGCAAAATTCATAGATTGTTAGGGGCTGGACCTTGCAGATCATCAGGTCCAGCCCCCAAAGAGAACATGCACATGTCCACGTTGCTTCGGCTGTAGCTTGCACTTTCCCCCACTGTAAGCTTCTAAACCATCTTTGTGCCCAATATTACTAGAGAGCTGCTTACAGAACCATACAGAATGCTTTTTTTGTATTTAGAGTGCTTTCTGTAGTATTGTAGTAACAGAGCAAGGGACAGATCCAATAGTTAAGATGACAGGACAAGTTCAGGCAAGATTCCAGCACTAAACTAAACTGGAGCAGAGGAGAAAAAGCACTATCATCAACATGTCACTTCTGCTTTTCAAGTTACCACTTTAAATACATATGTGAATTGGCTGGTACAAGGAATATTCTAATTTTTAAAATGTACACAAAATGCGCCAGTCATTACACCTTGGATTTTAAACTAGAACAGGCTCTGGCTTTTTCGCAGGCTGTTGGGAAAATGAGTGTAGCTATTTATCCAGAAGACATAGCAAGCAAGTCCAGACCATCACTGCTGTGCTCTGTGCTAGGTCATATTATACAGTGGCAGGAGTCTCCAATTTTCCCCTGAGCTGTAGGGGGAAAAGCAGAATTATTCTTCGGTGGGGATGAAGGGAGAGTCTTAGGGCCAGAAGTAGGAGAGGAAGAATTAGCTTGTGCAAATTCATAGTCCTCTAAACATGGGAATTGTCCCTTGTGACACCAAACCACTCTCCTCTATACACGGAGG